TATGTGAGGGACTGGGACTCAATTTCCCCTTCACTGCAACCTGGGTTATTTATGCTATGACTTTTGCTACAGCAATGCTGTCAGTTAACCTGAACACGAATTTTATACAAGGATCATCCGACCTACTTATGATTTCACCTCTTTACTCATATTTCAACATATTCCTATGAGAAATCTAAACATAGAGATCAAGTTAAGCATAGGTTTCAATTGGGCTATGTGAGACAAGTGTATACTCCTATACTACTCGCAAATTAACTAGATTTCTTTGTGACATTTAGCTAAACAACACATTGTTCAATATTAGTCTTATTCCAATCAATTTTTCAGCAAATTGAACTCACAATATTCTGTTTAAGATGGCCATTCAGTAAACAAAAATGAACAATAAAGAGTATATTGAACAAACTAGATCAACATTAATATAGCAAAAGTGAGCATATACAATGTTAGTTACAGATCTGGGTACTTTATCATCCCAGCCAAGTAAATTTAGCTCATACTTATTCTGTTAACTTCAACACAATAATCAGCCATGAATTGAATACAGAGAAAGAGGAAAGATAAACCAAAATGAGGATAACAACGGTAAAGACTAGGTGAGGCCAGGGGGTTTCCTCCCGTGGCTTCCCTCATTGAGATTTCTAGCCAAGTTAGTCTCCTCCCGTGGCTGTTTGTCCTTTCTTCCTTGTTCTCTCATTCTCTTTTCACTCTCTGCTGCTTCAGGCTTTTCACTCGGGGTGCTCTCTGTTTTTCTGACTCCCGTGCTCTGTGTTCTCTATTTTCTCCTCCTGATTCTTTTCCTTCTCCTTCCTACGGCACCCTTCCCTCCCTTAAGGGTTTCCAGGTGCATTCCTCTTTAGGGCAACCAAGGACGCTGAGGTGGCACCTATTCAGATGTTGGGTCCAGCTGACTAAGCAACAAATCCGTCTTATGCGCTCTTTGTCCTAATTCTCATGCAAAGTTATGCGTTGACGTCATCCACTAATTGCATGCTGTCACATTTTTACTGTAGCAAATGCTGCAGCATTTATCATCACAAAACCTGCAATCCAGAAACGACACCTTTTTGGACACAAGTCAGCAATTTTCTTCCAAATTACCACAGAAACCGCATGCAATTGACTCTTAGTAGAGTGCACCACATGAGCCAAAAGTTGAGCAAATAAAGCAGAAAATTAACAACTAAACCTTTGGACAAGCCAACTACAAGCCTAAAAATGCCTAAAATAACTCTAATTCCTAGAGTTATCAGGCAGCCACAATTGTATTATATTCATACCATTTTTAACTGCCTCATTGCACCGATATATAGGTGCTTTGGCATTTTGATTCTTAGCATATGTGGGGAAAACAAATATGGAAGGAGAAGAAAAGCCTAGAGACAGAAAAGTCACGTTTCTCCTAAATATTACAGTTCTTTCATTTGTTAAAGAGAGTGTTTTTATCGTATTATAAGAGAAAGGGTATTGTTATTGTGCTCTCCTTATTTTAGAGAGAAGTTATTGTAATGCTTTTGCAATAATGAAATCCTTCTATAATTTGCCTTTGGTTTTTTATCTCGATTCATTTGGGGTTTTCACGTAAAAAATTCAGATGTCTCTTTTATCTTCATTTTGTCTTATTTCTGGTCTTTTTCACCTTTCCAATTTCTAACATTTATCATGAAAAGGAAATCATAACGAAGAATAAATCTACTAGACAAAAACAAAAAAAGAATAATTCCTTTGAGAGTGGGGAGAGGGAGAGGTTGCGATTTCTGAGAATGCGAACACTCCATCCTTGGATACAGACTTAGGATCGACTTAATTGTCGTTATCTAGATCCGAATGCAAAAATTGTATCAAAAAACAGAAGAATCAAATCAACGCTCTTCTTAATAAGCCAAAAACTTCAAGAAAACATGAGAAAAACTCATAATCTTTGAACTCAACAGATATCTATCAAATTTCAAAACTTTCAAATTTGACAATATAACAGTAAGAAAAATACAAAGAAAAAGAACAAAGGATTAATTTCATAAATGTCTCTTAAAGTATGTACCTTATATTAAAATGTCTCCTGATTTTTTAAAACAGTTGAAAACACCTCCATGTATAGAAAACATATCAAAACTCTACTTCCATCTACTTTAGTCTACAATGTTAACGGGTAACGGGTTTAATTGTGTGACATACAATTAACAATTAAGTAAAGCCATTAAATTTTAACTAAATTAAAAAAATAATTAAATATTAAAAATAAAAGGAAATTTTTTTAAAAAATATTATATTAAAAGAGGGTTTTTTTAAAAAAATTATTATAATGGAAAAGGCATTTTCTGTGGTCTCTCACCACTTTTATCGGCAAAATTTCTCTCATCATAACTGATTAAAGAATTAGCATAACCGGTTAAACGATTGGCATAATTCTCTTGGATTGGGTCGTAATAGTTACTATTTTGGGAACTAGAAGTCGTTTCTAAAGATATGACAAATAAAACATTGTCATGCACTCATCCAAATAAATATTCATGCATGACTAGATGTCCCTATGAAAAAAGAACATGATAGATGTAATTCTTCACGACAATATTATTTAGATTAAAAAATGACAATATTATTTAGCATATTTGATTCTTTGGATTTTGGTGAGTTCAAGGTTTGGATTTGGGTATAAAAGTTTAACGAAGAGGGAGAATACAATTCTGGTTTTTTATAATATAAATACTATTGTCGTGTTTGAAATTATTCTTGTTTTTGTTTTTTCACGTTTTTTGAGAAAGAAAAAATGAAAACGATTCTAAAATGATGTTTGACACAATTAAAGAAAAAAAACGGAAATGAAAATAATTTTTTGGTTTAGTATAAAATGGGAGAGAAATGAAAAATAACTTTTAGTCGTTTTTCATTTTTTATTTTCGTTTTCTCCTCTCTCGCGCATAGAGATATATATATATATATATATATTAATGAGTTTTTTTATACTGAAAATAATCTCTTGATAAAACTACCAAACGCATTTTTAAAAATGATTTTTGTCTGAGATTGAAAATGTTTTTATTTCCATTTGCATACAAAAAATAAAATCATTTTAGAACGAGTTTCAAACGCACCCTATATTTTTAGAAAGTTTCTTTTTATTTTTTAACATTTAATTATTTTTAAAGATTTAGTTAATTATTAATATTATGTCACATCATCATATCCATTGACATTATAGTTGAAAGTGGATGAATGAGACGTTTTGATCTATTTTCTATACATCAAGAAGTGTTTTGATTTATTTTAAAAAATTGAGATGCATTTTGAAATAGGACAATGCTTCAGGGAGCATTTATGAAATTAATCCAAAAATAAAATTGTAGGAATAAAAAAACTGAAGAATTTACTTTTGAAGGTGAGGGAGAAGTGAGAAGGTCTCGAGGGGAAGATTCTTCCGGGGAAGAAGATAGAAGAGGAAGACGTGAATGGAGCAGAACACGAGCTCACGAAGAAATTAATGGGAGCAAGATGAGGAATTGGTGAGAGAGAAGATGAAAGAAGAAAAGGAAGCAAAAGTGCTACAGGCATTTGGAGGAAAACGTAAAGAAGAATTGAGTAAAAAAGAAAGAAAGAAAAGAAAGAGAAAAGAGAACCCAAAAAAATAGGTTGGTAATCCAGGTAGCGACACGACGACACGACTTGAAATCCGTACGAAATTAGCAAGTTTGAGTTTACTATAAATGGGTTTGAGTCACAATCGAGTTGACACGATTAATAAATATGGTGGGTTAGGGTTGACCTCATAACATGAAGTGACATGAATTGATACAATTAACTAGATGTGTTATCTATAATATAATAATATGTGATATAACATGAAAGTTTATATGACATATTAAATACAAATAATGTGAATTTTACCTTCATTTATTTTTCTTAAAGGAAAAGATAAATTGACCTATAAACATGTTAAACCTTTCATGACCATGTTAAAAAAGTCATTATTATATAGTTATTTATTCAATATATTAATTTATACGAGTTATACGAGTTGACACGATTAACACGATTAATAAATATGTTGTGTTTTGGTTGACTTTTTGACACGTTTAATTAACAGGTCGTGTTTTCTGACACGGTTAATAAACGAGTTGACACGAACACGACTCACTAACACGAATTGTCACTCTTACAAAAAGAGCACCAAACGGAAAATAGTATTTTACACATTTGCTCTCTATACTTGTATTATTTTAGCAATTTATCTTTTGAACTTTTAATTTTGGCAAGTTATCATCTCAACTTGTAAAATTATTGCAATATGTCATGTTTTGACAATAAAAGCGTTAAATTAGTATAAAAAACACGTTCGGCGAGAAATTCTAACATTATAATTCAAATGTAACACAAATCTTTTAATTTCTCAATTTTTAATCGTTTAAATTTATTAAAAAATTTGCACAAATTTAGTAAAATGGATGACATTACAATAATTTTATAAATTTAAGGGATTAATTTTTAAAATAAAAAATTTAAAGTGTAATTTATTAAATCATGATAAGTTTAAAAGTAATTATTTTAAATCCCAAAAAAACAATTCAAATAACAATCAAAGCACATGGTATCACGGGAATAAGAATGAAGGTGTTCACTTCAAAATTCTAAACATCATTTCATTAAGTATGACAGTAATTTATCACAAATAAAAATTCAGGACAATTTGTCAATTTAGTCAAAGTTGTCTCTCAGAGGGTATTTGGTATAAAAATTTATGTTATAATTTAAATTATAATTAGTAATTTATTATAGTATTTTTTTTTATAAAAAATACATATAAATTAAAAATAATTTTAAATCATAATTTTGAATATGTGAACTAAACGCACGTGTGTTTTCTTTTATCTGCTTTGACGAACACAGATTTGCCGTTGGATTAAATTCGATCCAACGGATCTCTCTTAATTCTAGTTTTTTCTTTTTTTTTTGGCCTGAAGCAAATTATTCCCAGTTCTCTTCTCTCTCTCTCTCTCCAACTTGCAACTCTTCTTCCAACAAACCGAAAACACCATTGTTCCAGATTTTTCCGAATCCGAAGTTTGATTTCTTTGGTTTATTTCCATAGAAAGTTTTTTCTTCTATTTTTTTTCCTTCGTTGGTCATTGTCGCCTTTGCTTGTATTTCAAATTTTTCTTCTCTGGAAATAGGCGGCTGTGCCTGGTGATCTCTCCCTAGTTTTCATTGGTGAGTTTTTTCTTTTTTTTTTTCCTTCGATTATTTATTTAGTTTCTGTTTGGGGTTACAGTATTATTACTGTTATTCGGTTTTATCACCATTCGTTAAAAGGTATGATTTTTTTCCTTTCCTTTTTTCTTTTGGGTGTTTGTATTGAACTTTTGGATTATGCCTTTCTGCCGATCCGTTAGGTTTAACTTTGCTCTGCTTTAGTAGGTTTAATTTGATTTTGATTTCTGGCTTTAGTTTTTATGATTGCTTCTTGTGAATTTTGGAAGAGGAATTTGACTCTCAAACATTATTCTAAACTCATGGCTCAATAAATTTTTTTTTTTTGAGAAGGGCTCAGTTGTCCCGTTCATTTCACCGATTCGAGTTTAGAATTCGAGTTTTGCTCACTCACTCTTCATAAAGTCACGACTCAACCCAAATTAAAAACTCGAATCAGCAAACTAAACGGGCCTATTAATTGTTTCTACCATTGTATTTTGATCTTTGACTTGCCTTTTTTTCTTTTTTTTAATTAAAGACCTAAAATAGTTTTAGGGAAGAAAAATAACCAATGACTAGAATGAATCAAACCGGCAACTTAAGTTGATCTCACCTAAAGTCATATCCAACAATCTAATTGTTTTTGTTGTGATATAAGGAATATCACTAAACTTGAAGAGTGACGACGAACAAGCATAACTTATGAGCATGATCAATAAAATAAAAATAGAAACTAGTTTTAAGTTTAATTTCTCAAAATTTTTGTTAAGAGTTTGATTTAAGTTTTGAGAAATATTAGTATCACTCTTTTTATCACTCTTTGTCATTCTCTACATTCACTGTTTGATACGTGTTTGATACTTACATTCACTGTTTGACTGTTTGACACGTGAACTCTACTAACACATATATTATTATATAAACAGAAAATGAGATATTAGAGTCAAATAGTGAATGCAGAGAATGACAGAAAGAGTGATGCTATCATTTCTCGTTTTGAGAAACTATCTAAGTTTTTAGTTATTGATAATCGGGGTAGTTTTTGTTGCTTGTTAGTCTTTTCTTTTTCCCCCTGTTGTTATTCTCTGTGAAAGAGTATTGTCAAATTTGAAGCTTAGGTTATTTTAATCCTTTGATAAATGAGATTTTCTTTCCTTTTGATTGATTATGTACCGATACTTATAGTCGTTATGTTCTTCCGTATAGTGCTTGGGTGAGAAATGCAAGATCCAAGGATGCCAATACCTGATGAGGTGCCAAACCATAAACCTCAAAAGAAGAAGACGTCGACCCAAAAAGCTCCTATGTTTCAGATGAGAAGGCATGATGTCAAAGCAGTTAAAGATGTACAAGGTTCTGTGCCATTGAAAGCAGGGCAAAAGGTCTCAAAAAGAGCTTTAAGGAATGAGGTTTCTCCGATGGTTCACCAACCCGAAAGGTCGAATTCAGATTCGTTACCAAACTCATCCACTTCTGGAAATGAGTACCGGTCATTGAGGCGGAAGTACCTGCTGCTGGAGGAAGAGAGCTTCACGCTGGGGAGAGATTTGAGAGAGGTTGAAGATGAGGTCAAGAGCCTTGAAGATGAGAAGCATGCACTCTTGGACAGGCTTGTTGTGTTAGAAGGCCTGATTGATCCGTCCGAGCTGCTGTCGCAACAGGGGAAATTATAACTCGTACCATTACAGGTTGTTGCCATTCTTTACAAGTATGTGCTGTCAACGTATCAATGTTTGAGCTCTTTAACATATTTGGCTCCAAGACAAGATCTTAAAGTTAATGATGAATGCTTCTGATGTTGTAAATAAAAAGATGGACTAGACAGCCGATTGATTAATGGGGTTGATTCTTTGCCTCAATAAACTTTTAGAATTTCATGTGTGATTGTGATAATTGATGGTCTGTAGAATCATATTGAAGGTGTACAATAGTGAAGAGTTCTCACGTTGGAAAAATCCATTTACATTTTTCCTTGGGGGGAATTGGGTTTAAAAACTTTATCCTGTGGCACTTCGGGAGCCGGATGAAAATATTAGTAGTAGGACAGCAGGTTCTGAACCTAGATGTCTTTCTATGAGACTATATGAAAAAAAATTTCATCAGTGAAAGTTTTGGCCATTCAGTTCTGTACTAGAGGATGTTTTTTGTTACGAACAAGTCGGATTTAATAAAAGCCATCGCATTTGACTCTTAATTTTTTTTTTTGTTCACTTGTCCAAATCTTTCGGCTTAAGTTAGGCAGTTTGATTGTTCATCCAATACCACTTGTAAATTAGGTTTAAATTTTTCTGCAGATATGGTACATTTCTTTTAAATTTTTCTGCAGATATGGTACATTCGGTCTTCTTCAGATATGGTACATTCGGTCTTCTTCTTCTTCTTCTTTCTTTCTTTGTTTTTTTTTTGTTTTTTTTTTTTTTTAAATACACAAATGAAGCCCATAAAATGAGCCGTCCATTTGGGGTTAAAGAACCACCTAAAGTTTCTAAGAATCCTTCTTCTTTTTTTTTTTTTTTTTTTTTTTTTTTTTAAATTTTTGTCTCTAATACACACAAATGAAGCCCATAAAATGAGCCGTCCATTTGGGGTTAAAGACCTAAAGTTTCTAACATCTCATTTGGTTGGAGGATTCGTTTTCTGATTCGAATAATGATTTATGATTCGCTACAGTATTCTCTCACAAAAAATAAACGTAAATCGAAAATAACTTTGTTTTCTGATTCGAATAATGATTTATGGTTCGCTACAGTATTCTCTCACAAAAAATAAACGTAAATCGAAAATAATTTTAATTTTATGGTTCTAATTCATGAACCAAATGGGTTATTAGAATCAATTTAGAAGTTATACTCAAATCATGATTATTAATTTTAACGTCTATAATTATTGATTTTGACGTTTGAAAAGATGAAAACATTATAACAGAATTAATTATTTAAATTTGAGTATATGAAATAAACGGATGCTAAAAAACTGTAGTATCTATACTCCATATGAGGCTGCACATCCCAAGGAGTCTCAGATATTTATCAGCATTCATGTTAATGCGTGAAGAATTACGAATATGCAGTTGCCATCTCCAAAATACTATAATTGGTCGATCGTAAAAAGGTATTATTGGTCGATCATTAAAAAAAAAAAAGAAGCTGTTTCAAAAAGGTTCCCCCAACGACGTCTCACGAATCAACAACTCTATCTACTGTAATATTTTTCTTTACATACAGGATAATAGATATAATAGAATATAGAGTAAATTACCCTGTTGTACTTCAAATTATTCTATTTTTTGTATAATGGACCCAAGACTTTTAATTTTGACAAATTATATCCTGAACTTTAAAATCAGTTATAACTGAAGTTTAATAGCTGATAATGTTAACAAATTGATAATTCAAGACACGAGATTTACACGTGACATGGATTGAAAAATGACGATCTTTGCTTTTTATGTGCAACTCTCGTGTCTTAAACCTCAATTTGATAACATTCCCTATTAGATCGCAACTGATTTTAAAGTTCAAGATATAATTTGCCAAAATTAAAAGCTCGGGACACATCATGAAAAAAATGAATAGTTTGAGTACAACGGTGCAATTTACTCTAGAATATACAAAGTTATTTGTCAACGTAAAGCTGAGCACAGAAACTTGATTGTATTTTAAGACTAAAACTGTGAGAATTTTGTCACAGTAAATTAGCACCACTTCAGTTTGCGTCATGCTACAAAAGAAAGTGACTTTTTTTATGTACAAAGAAAGCGACTTTTTTTATGTACAAAAAATATGAGAAACCTCCAATCTGCCTACCACTGATTTCCATTCCCTCAAAACATGAAAAAAGAGATTATGTATAAAGACCAATCATCACTCAAAAACAAACAATAACAACAACCGTCATTTCCTCACCTACCCCACCTTCCTTTTACAAAAAAGAAATGACTCATTGCCCATTGGACACTCCAAGAAGCATTACCTGTTCTAGAACAACCAATGTTTGCTGATCATTGTCTTGTTTGTGTTGTTTCTGATTCTCCAGATGTGGTTGGTTGAGAGTGGTCTACGGGGTGAGATTCTTCTACACGGCTTTGGTTGTTAGTGTTGTTGGCCTCGGAACGTTCGTGGCCGGGCATTAGCCACTGCTGAGAGTGTTCACTTGGGACCTCAGAATCATCAAAGGATTGAGTCCTGCTAAACATAACTGGCCTGCCATGTTTTGTGCCAAGAGATTCTTGTAATGGCAGACGGCAAACTGGACAAGTGGACTGTTTTCTCAGCCATACATCAATGCAAGAGAGATGGAAATTATGGCCACATTTGGGCATGATTCTTAGTACTTCCTTCTCTTGGTACTCACCCAAACATATTGAGCACCTGCATGTACAAAATGAAAAGAAAGACTAAAAGCTTTCAAACTTGCATGTGTTCAATAGGATTAGGTCCCATGGAGATTTCATATAAAGAACAATAAGCAAGTAATTCTAAGAGCAGTAAGATTTTTGATGTACATCTGGGATTTGATTCTAGGGCTCTCAGAATTGCTTCTGCACAAATTTCTTAACATTAACCCGTTTGATAAAAGTGGCCAGTACATAAATCATTACACTTTTTATAGAAGTTGCTTTTTCAAAATGATTGACATGAAGTAAATACATGTAATTTTTTTTTAACAGAAATCTCAAATAGCCCGAACTATTTGAATTGCTTAAAATGACACATAATAATAATATGATAGAGAATTTTTTTGGTAAGAAAGAAAAAAAGATCCTATTTGGTAGGTAAGGTTTTGAAGTCTGAGATCTTTATTGGGTTGAGTCAACTTTGCATATTTTTTCATTTTGGTGTAATTTTGATCATATCTGACGTTCAGAAACATGCAAGACTGGTATGGATACCCTATCGAGGTAACAAACCAATTACAAAATATGAATCTTTGATAAACACATTAAGATTCTTCAAATATAGGCGGCTAAACTTACAGTGTGTCTTCTATAGAACTAAAAGCCTCTTGGTTGAACTTCATAGTAGGGATAGCAGCAACCAGAACTGGTTCAAGGCCACTAGCCTGGTGCTCTGGCTGCCAGCAAACAATGAAAGCTTAAAATCCATAGCTCCAAACTCAAGCACTAATCCATAGACAAAGAAAAAACAAAAACTCAAGATTAATACATGGACACAAAAATGTAACTTTACAGTTTAGTCTCGTTAAACCCGGTGATGATACCGGGATAGGAAAAGAAGTATTTCATAATTCAACTTAACCAATGTCTGAATCAACATCAACTAAAATGAGCAAGCGATATTTGTACATCTTTTGCAATCTTTCTCCTTCAACAATTACATTTTTCAACATTAAATAAACAAGAACCATAACGTATGTACACATCTTTCAATTCATTCCTCCACTACTTCAACATTCTATCCAAAGAGAAACATTAAGGAATCTTTTTAAATCCTCCTCCGAATTTACTTGTCTTTTTGGTAACAGTCGTATCAAAACCATAATTATAGAGAAATAGTAAAAGTGAATCCTAGATCACCCCATAGAACAAAGTCAAACTACTAAAGCATAAAAGACGAGAAAAATTCTCAAAAACTTTATTAGCAGATTTGAATCAAAAGTACCTGCTCTAGATCAATCCTTGATTCAATCTCAAACATAGGCCGTGATTCATTCCTCCGGAGCCTCCCACAAATGATTCTTGTGCAGACAAACACAATAAAAGTTGCACTCATACCAAACCCAATAATAGTAGTAATTAAATTCATACCTGTATCGACCATCTTCAGGCTTCACCCAATAAAACACCCCAAAAGCCCAAAAAGGGCCAAAAAAAGGGAACCAAAATAAAGAGACACCGAGTATTTTAATACACAAAAAGGAAAGGCTTTCCAAGGAAAACCAAGAATGCCCACAAGTCCAAACACACCAAAAAGATTAAGCAAAAACCACAGATCGGAAATCCTCAAAAATTGACCAAATTGGGAAGAAAAATCACAAGAAAGAAACAACCCATTTGGAATTTCAATAGCTTTGTGAAGACTCAAAGGTAAGAAGTGATAATAAGACTAATTAAGAAGTTGGGCTGATGAAATGAATGAATGAATGGATGGTGGGATGAGAAAAGGAGAGCTATGGAAGGGGAAGGAGAAGAAGAAGAAGAAGAAAAGAAGAAAATTCGTTTTCTTGCTCTTTGGAATCGTATTCATGTGGGGTCTACCTAATAGGTGGGACCAGCATTGTATTTATTGATAGGATCCGACGATTGAGGATGGTTGTCAGCTTTGGCGGCAAAAGAAGCTAAACGGTAAAAAGTGGATTTTTATGGGATTCCCATGTTGTTAGTTTATGACCGTTCATTGATTTGAGTTTTTAATTTGAGTTAAAATATGAATTTATATGAGAGTTTTTTATTATAATAAAAAAGTTAAATGTGATTATTTTTTAGAGCTTTTTACTGTAGCAAAATTCAGATTCTAAACTCGAATCGACGAAATAAACGGGACCTTAATTTTTATTTAATCCACCTGTTTAGTTTGTTAATTTAAATTTTTAATTTAAGTTAAAATATAATTTTATATAAATTTTTTTTATCATAATAAAAAAATTAAATGTTATTAATTTTTAAAATTTTTATTATAATAAAATTTAAATTTTAAACTCAAATCAATAAAATTGACCGCACTTATATAGTTAGAGAGAAGAATCTCTCGAGGCTTGTTTGATTGCTGCTCATCTTACTTGTATCTTCTCTTGGTGCTTTCTCAACCATACTACTTCTGGATAAGGCCTAGTCGCCTAGACTTGGTCAAACTATATTCCCCAATTTTAAATTTTGTTTATTGTTTTTATTGTTTTTTGTTTTTATTTTGTGAGGGCATTTTCAACAAAACATTTCATTAAAATTTTTAATTATTTTACTTTTTTTATTCGGAAAATCTTCAATGTGTATCTCGTACTCATGTGCTACGTGGAGACCATTAATCGCGATGATAGATTTGAATCCCACGGCCCGATAATTTTATTGACTACACTTGTCACACGCAATTTATAAGTGCCGTTTAATTTTATATTATAAAGTTGAGAATAATAATCCCTACGGCATGGAATGCTCCCCTTCACAATTCCCTCCTTTAAATAATACTTGGCAAAACTTTAATTAATACTTTGCTTTCGCCAAGTGGTAATTTATGAATTTAATATAGATTCTAGGTTTTTTTTTTCTATTTTTTATATATTGGTAGTTGGAATTGTGGTTATTTTAATACTTGTTGTTCAACTATGAGACGAAGAACGCTCGGTCGCACTTTTAATAAAGGAAAAAGAAAGGGAGAGGAATACTTGTGAACTCTGACAAGGTACTTGTTCTGATAGTGGATGCAGATTCTAATCTTATGCTAAAATCTTCCTTTTTTTTCTTTTCTCTCAAAACTCTAAATTAAAATTGAAATAATCTTTTGTTAGGTCTAAGATGCAATAATATAATAACAGATGTTATCAAATTAAATACATGAGATTTAGACCATGTTCATTTTACCGATTCGAGTTTTGTTACAGTAAAAAGCTCTCAGAAACAGTCACATCTAATTTTTTGCTACAATAAAAGCTCTCACATAAACTCACATCTCAACTCGAATCAGCGAACTAAACAGATTCTTAATTTATTATTTTCTAATTGGTTAATGCAGCTAAATTGCTCAAGTTTTGCATTTTATCAAATGAAAATTGTGGAAGCAATACCTTGTTATTGTTATAAATCTAAGATTTAATGCGGATGTCCATTAACTAGATTCTATGGTATCTTCATGGGATTAAGATAACAATTTATGAGATTATAATATGCAATTAATTGAGCTTATGATTGATTGAAATCTGACAATTACAATTATGTTGTAGATCTTTCTATTATTATTTTGTAAAAGAGCCTATAAATAGAGCATTAGAAAAGCATTGTAGAATGAGATGTGAATCAAAAATATTTTCTTCTTTCTTGTCTTATCTCAATTCTCTTGTTCTTGTTCTTTCACTCCGTTGCTTTATTTTATTTTATAACACATTATCAGCACTAGTTTGTTCTACAAAACCATTGAACTATAGGAGGTTTGTTCCGTTTATATTTTCAATTTTCTATCACGTATGCCGTCTATATATACCTACCTATATATACATATATATATGTTACGTTTATATATATATAAACCAATATATCTATTACGTTTTTAGCTTATTGATGTTCTTCTACGCACAATAGTTTTTCTACCTATTACGTTTATATGTTACGTTTATATATACATATCTACATATATGTATACGTTTATATTTTCTATTATATTATGCCGTTTATATGTTATGTTTATATACCTACCTTTATATATTTTCTTTTGCACATATGATAGGTTTGATTTAATCTTATATATTACGTATGCTTTATATATATATTTTTATTATATTCTTAGTTTATAATAACAAATATCATTCCCAGAAGCGAATGGTAGCCATTCCTTGAAGCGAATGTGTCAAAATAATTTTAGACATCCCCTGAAGTGAATGTATCTATATTATTCAATATAATTTCACATCCCCTGAAGAAAATGTGTCATTGTTTTACACACTCCTTAAAGTGAATGTTTTTTTTATTGATTAAATATTTTACATTCCCTGAAGTGAATGTATTATTAATGATTATTAGCAAGAATAATTTTGAGTATTTGTAATTCACTGGTTTTTATATCATTATAAGGCTAAAAAAAAATAGTTTTGTGAAATTTGGACAAGTCATAAGTACTCATATTCCCTTGAAGAAAATAATATTAATTATGGACAAATTGGTTTATATGATCTTTAATAATTATATTCGGTTATTCTTTACTGCTATTTTATTATTTTAAATTTGTAATTTCTTTTAATTATCATTATTGTTCTTATGTACTAGTGTCTACTATGTCGAATTTGACAAAACTTGAGTTTGCTGCGCTCGATATAACGGGCAAGAACTATTTATCATGGGTACTTGATGCTGAAATTTATTTGGATGCTAAAGGACTTGGAGACACAATTATTAAAGGAAAACAAGCGTCCAGCCAAAATAAGGCTAAGGCCATGATTTTTCTTTGTCATTATCTTCATGAAAGACTAAAAGCAGAATATTTAACTGTGAAAGATCCTCTAGAATTGTGGATCAATTTAAAAGAAAGATATGATCATCTTAAAACTATGATTTTGCCTAAAACTATAAATGAATACAATTTTGTAGTTTTTAAAATAAGTTCTCAATTGAAATTATGTGGTGAAAAGATTACAGATGAGGACTTATTAGAAAAAACATTTTCGACCTTTCACGCTTCAAATGTGCTTCTGCAGCAACAATATCGTGAAAAAGAATTTAAGAAATATTCTGAACTGATATCATGCCTTCTTGTGGTTGAGCAAAATAATGAGCTACTCATGAAAAATCATGAAGCCTGCCCCACTGGTTCTGCCCCATTTCCTGAAGTGAATGTGGTAACTCATCATAAATCTAAAAGTGGACAAAACAGTGGTCGTGGTCGTGGTCGGGGGCGCAACAATTACAATTATCGTGGTGGTCATAACAAAATTTTTCTCACCACCAGAAGTGGAATAATAGTGATAAACAAGAAAAAAAAATAAAGAGGCTCCAAGTAATCCTTCAAAGAGTGTAGATAATTTATGTTATCGATGTGGAGTGAAAGGTCATTGGTCATGTACCTGTCGTATGCCTGAACATCTTGTTAAGCTATATCAAGCTTCAATCAAAAAGAAAGGAAACAATGTAGAGGCCAATTTGACTTTCCAGAATGACGATATTGAGGCAAATGATGTAGAAGTAAATTTGGAATCTAATGATGATGACTTTGCAGGCCTCGATGATATACTTATTTTTGATGGCCCGAATGATATGACACATCTGGATGCATCATACTTTTTCAAGAATCATATGTGAAGATTGATTATTTTACTGGGATACAAATCATTAGAACAATTTATTTTTATGTTCTTTGTTTTTCTTTATTTTCAATATGTTTTCTTTTAATGTAATTCCTTAAGCTTCATTTTTGCTACATTTCTTATTGATGTTTTTCATTTTATTTTTAATGAAGATATGGATATTTCCCAGTAATTGGTTAGACCCAATATCAATAAAGAAGATATATGCCTCATAGATAGTGCTACAACGCATACAATACTTAGAGATAAAAGATTTTTTACCTCTCTTGTTATGAAAGAAGTAAATGTTAATATAATATCTGGTTGTACGAAATTAATTGAAGGCTCTAGAAGAGCCAATATCATATTACCTAGAGGAATAAAATTTGTTATAGATGGTGCATTATATTCTAGTAAGTCTCAAAGAAACTTGTTAAGTTTTAAAGATATTTACCGAAATGGATATCATATTGAGACTGTAAATGAGGAGAATATTGAATATCTCTATATCACAACTATTATATCGGGTAAGAAATGTGTATTGGAAAAACTATCCGCCTTTTCCTCCGGTTTGTACTATATAAATATTGGCATAGTTGAAACTCATGCTATAGTAAACTAGAAGTTTACTGATCCAAATACTTTTACTATTTGGCATGATCGGTTAGCCATCCCGGATCAATCATAATGCGAAAAATTATTGAGAATTCACATGGACACCCATTAAAGAACTAGAAGATTATTCAATTTAAGGAATTCTCATGTGCTGCTTGTTCTCAAGGAAAATTGATTACTAGACTATCACGAGTTAAAGTTGGGATTAAATCCCCTGTATTTCTGGAACATATTCAAGGTGATATATGTGGGCCCATTCACCCACCATGTGGACCATTTATATTCCATGGTTTCGATAGATGCATCTACAAGATGGTCACATGTGTGTTTGTTATCAACTCGCAGCTTGACGTTTACGAGATTACTTGCTCAAATAATAAGATTAAGAGCACAATTTCCATATTATGTCATCAAGACAATTCGTCTTGATAATGCTAGCGAGTTTACATCTCAAGCTTTTAATGATTATTGTATGTCAATTGGAATAACAGTTGAAGAGCGTGTTGCTCATGTTCATACACAAAATGGTTTAGTAGAATCATTTATTGAACGCCTCCAATTAAT